CAAAAGAAGACCAATTAAAAACTACTTTTACTATGGATTGGGGGACCTTTGCCTATAAGGTTATGCCATTTGGGCTTTGTAATGCACCAGCTACATTTCAAAGGATAATGATGCAAGCGTTCTAAGATTATCTACAAATTTCAATGGAAATATTTCTAGATGATTTTTCTACATTTAGTACGAGAGCCAGGTATTTAGAATGTCTCGGTCAATGTTTAAATCAATGTGCCAAATATGAAATTTCTTCAAATTTAGAAAAATGCCAATTTGTTGTACCTTCTGATAAATTATTGGGTCATATAGTTTCGATGGCATAGGCCATATCGAGTTATTGAAAAATTTCCAAGTAATTCAATACAATTGGAAGATTTTATGGGTACTAAATTTACGACATAGATCAATAGTAATCGACTTAAACTTTACTATCCATAAATCCAAGATGGATTTTCTGTTACAAAAGGGAGAGTCAATCCAATTGATTGGACCATAATTAGAAGTAGGAGGGAGGTTCTTTACAAGCATCGTGTTTTCTTTTGTAGTTAAGGAGAAGATGGCGAACATAGTCTCTGAAAAAGTAAGGATGGAGACCGATTGGAAGGAACGGCAAGAACAGCTACAGGTAGAGGTTGTGATGTTGCAGACTAAACTAGCTGCATTAGCAAAGGAGGCGAATAATTTAGTGCAGACCAATACGCCAGTTTCAGTGACAACACCTTTGAAAATACCTTTGAAACTGACAAAAGAATGGCAGAAGATGTTGGAAGAGCGTGACAACCAAATTGCTCGACGTGAGTCTCAGGTATGGAAATTGGGTTTTTTGAATGAAGATCTAATGGCGCATTTGGATAGAAAACCCTTGAACACCGAGGTAGATGACGAAGATGTAAAGAAGAGAAGGTCACCAATTCAAAGGGTGGTAAGCCAACGCCATTGATTGAAGAAGCCAATGCTTCTACGTCTTTATAAGTTGAGGCTAAATAATGTTTGTGAGGATGCTGCACAATTAGGAGTAGGGCTATGTAGAATAGGTAAATAAACTTTGTGATAAGTTACTGATTGGTTATTGACAACCTTGAGAATTAGACTGATGGTTAGGCAGTTTAGCTGGTAACAGTAGGTTGTTAATAGAATAAATAGTTAAGAATTCAAAGGATCATAACCTTTGGAATCCATTGGCTGATAGATCATCTTTTTGGTAGGATAAATAGGTTGAGGAACGTAAGCTGGGAGTGAGACTGAGAGTCGTAAGCCGAGAGTCAGACTAAGAGTTGTAAGCCAAAAGTCAAACTATAAGAGTCGTAAGTCGGGAACTAGACAAAGAGTCGTAAGCCAGGGTAAGCTTGGTGCTACCTCTTTGTTTTTTTTATTTGCTTATGAAGAATTGTGATTGAGAGAAATATTATTGAATTGATAATCGTAGAATAGATTATAGATTGAATTAAGATGGAAGTAGTAAGCCTCGGTGTTTTGTAGTTTGATACTTGATTTGAGATAGTCAGAATACAATCAATTGTGATACTAACAGATCCAATTCATATAACTAGCCTTTCCCCGTGTTCGAACCCACCTCTATTAGTTCAATTGCTTTGGTCTACTGAAGCTTGAACAAAACAAGAACAACAAATAGTATAGCTTGCAACGAAGTGACATTAAATATTTCCTATGTATTGGCACTTGAATTGGCCCTTGTATCGAACATTCTTGGATAACTTACCATTGCTCCATTTCATATCAGAATTTGATAACTTCCTTGAACTGGAATCATAATAGCTCTCATAATTAAAAATTAGTCATAATGGCATTCCTCCCAAAGCTTGGGTCGATTAAGAGATGGAGTTACCATATTTGGTTGAGCCTCTTTTACAAATATTTTTAGTTTGGGTGGATGCAATCCATTGATTAATATGGACTATACAAAAGCCTCCAGCATTTGATGATTCGGCCACTTGCAGAGTATATCTACCACACGACCATAGTATAATTACATTGCCTCTTTTGAGCTCATTTTATTATTCATTAATCTTTCTCAAAATCGATCTTCAAAACCAATTATGCAAAAATGGATTAAAAATGTATTCTTCAATGTTTTTCAATTAGAAAATTGATCCATCGGTTGGTGGTTATACCATTCAAACATCTTATCTTTTAAAATTACTAGGAGCTATCGCAATCAAATATCTTTAGTTCTGTTATTATTGGCTACACATGCGATGAAGAACTAAGACAAGTGTTGATCTTGATCTGCATTTAGTAAGCCCCTAAAAGTAAGTAATGGAGCCGTGCTAGTTGTACGATCATCCACGTCATCCATTTGGACTACTATTGGAACTGCTAGACCACTCATCATTATTAAAGAGGACAATGTGCCACTTAATTTCTTATTAAAATAACAATTGCCTTCTCCAAATATCTTTTTTGAACTTTTTAATCTCTTTAATTTACTATTATTATCTCTGAATAAGTTTATTGATTGAATTGGAGGTAAAAACGATGGATTTTGAAGCACGTTGAATTGGCCTTTATTGACAAGCAATTTATGCCATTTTATGGAATCAATTTTGATAGAATCGATAATTTTTGCTATTGAAAAGGTATCCAATGGAGTACCCAATTTTTTTGTATTTCTTCTTCTTGCAGTTAACGAGCTCAAGAGATATGCTGGGCTATTGACAAAATTTTCTGCAAGTGCTCTTGGCAATTTTCTTAATGGTATATATGTCTGAAATATTAGAGATCGGTCAGCTTCTGGATATGCTCGGATATGCTGACAAACATGCAACCATGGCTTAATCCAACTTTATTGACGCTTCTTCTTTAACTTACGTTCTTGCTTATTTTGCAATAATTTTCTTGCTTGCGCTCTCTCTTGTCTTTCTTTTGACTTGCATGTTTTCTTTACTGCAATGTTTTTATTCTTAACAACCATAATCTTTTATTATATACTACTGAATATGCTTCATATCTCCCATCTAACTACACATTTTTCTTCACTTTCAAATCAATTTTGATTTTATAACCTCTTTGCGTAACATCCAAAACTACTCGTTTGGTAGTTAATTCCTAACACTCAATACTATTGTCAATCCCTGGCAACGGCACCAAAATGTGGTTATTGTTTTACTTATTCTACAAAAAAATTTTAGAATAAACCTGTATAGGGGAATTTGAACGCAGGGAAAGACTAACCGCATGACTTTTTACCGTATTCCAAACTACTAAAAATACCAAAGAACACTGCAATACTTTCTCCTACTAACAATACTCCTTCATCAACTGATAACAACAATATGCAATCTCGTACTCTCTCAAAAGTCCGCTTAAAAACACACATAAATTCCATCCAACATTGAAAATAACAGACTTCCACTTCAACCAATCTGGCTTCACATAATTTCTGTAATCATAGACTTCTTCAATCAAAACATACACAACTCTCAATAAACAACAATTATAATCTTCCATCCATGAATAATCTCCTAATATCTTCTCATAATAATTCAATCACACAGTACTCTAATTTCATATTCAATATCTTATAAATCAATCTCTGAATTATTCTACATATTTACTTCACAGTGATCAAAACCTAAAACAACAAAATAAACAAGAAACAAGAGATAGAACCAAGCTTATCCCGGCTCATGACTATCACAGTCTGGCCCCTCCAATATCTTCTTCAATTACTATATACTTATCCCTGAAATAATAGATTCTAACCAACATTCCCTACTTAACCATTTTTCATAACTAATTCAATCATCTGACCTACTGAATTGACTACCTTAGGAATGATTAATCTATTTTACCAATATCTTATAGAAACAAATTTCTATCCATTCTACATGTACAATCTTTGCTAATGCCAAATATATACACTTCTAACTTTTCTTTTTTTAAAATAAATGTCATATTTAATATTTTATAAATAAATAAATTTTACTTTATTATTATATTAATGAATAGTTGATACCATACATAAAATATCATTCTAAAATCGAGTTGATTTGTTTCAATTTTTATTCCATCTTCAAAGCTATTAGATATCCTCGTTATTATTGTTGTTGCTCTTTCTTTTCTTTTCTTTTTCAAAATTATAAATCTTATTGAACTATTATTTGAGTAAAAAGTAAAAAAGTGGAAAAACCAAAGGTAAAAAATTGAAAATAAAATTGGTGGCTTATTTACTTGAAAGCTTATATTTAAGATAATAAATATATATATATATATATATATATATACAAAGATTTTTATTGACATGATCAAAGAACCTTTGGTCTTATTTGTATTCAAACTTTGGTACTAAGGTTCCATAAAAATCTCTACAATAGACTTAAATAGGCTTTGAATTATGTCATAATTGTCGACAATCAAGCTAACCTCAACTATCCAAAATAAATAGATAAATAAATGGAAAGGAAAAGAAAGAGAGACACCTTTATTGCTTACCTGATTCTTGCATTGAATTTTACTTTTGCGCCATATTCATCAATTTTTCAAGTTTATAAAAATATAATAAAATAAAATAAAATGGATTTAATTCTTTGTTTTTATACAAAGTTACTAAAGATTTAGCAACACAATAATTTCAAACAGCTTCTCCACTCACAAGAAATATTATTTTGAAAATCAGCGATTTGTAATTTCCAATTTCATCATTCAAACAAGTTCATTATTCACGGAAAGTTGTATCACAATCTCAACTGTTGTCCAATAAAGAAACAGTAAACCCCAGCCAGGCGCATTTACAAACAGCCTGTGAGGCCCATCCACTGGAAAGAGGGGCATCAAGAGGCGAGCCACGTAAGAGCTTGCAGCCTGCATCTCATTGGCCGAAGCGTGAACTCGTCCACCGTGACATTGACAAGTCAGCAAATAAAGGCGCGCGCCTTATCTATAGGGGGTCGGGGAAAAGGCGTCTGGATGGTGCACGATGCTCGCGGGGCTATGACCGTGGTGATTGGACGAGGGGCCCCATATCCACATCCCTATCTCGGCCCTGCAGCTTCGCCATCAAGACCTTCCATCCTCACAGCTGTAATCCAACAGCACACTCCTCCTTGCTTTTGTGGTTGCTGTTGTTGTTGGTGCTGCCGGTGGAGCTTGTTCGAGGGTGACCTATCGACGATTCGCAATGGCTGCCGTCGCCGCAACTATGTCCGTCGCCACTGTGCGCCAATTCGAAGGTCTCAAGGCCACCACCAGCTTTAGCAAGCCTGTGCCAAGCTTGGTATGCGCTCCACTCTGTCCTTGTAGCGTTGCAATAAGTCGATCTGCTATTGACATATCTGGTCTTTAGGTCCGAGTGATTTGCTGTACAATGCGAGAGACCAGTTGTAAGAGTTTTGGAGCGGTGTGTAATCCATTGCTGGCGGACTCCTCTATAGGTCTTGAGCGTTAGTCTTGTCCACCTCGAAGCGGATGATCGTCTCTCCTGTCGGTAATCAGTGATTTTGAATAATGTGTGTTACCTTTTTCTGCATTTGTTGTTTTCTTGGGAATACAGTGCACCACTATCTGAAATCACTCTTCTTATCGATTCCAGGTGATGAAGAAGTCTTCAGGAAAGGGTGCTTTGGGAGCACGATGTGACTACATTGGATCTTCTACCAACTTGGTAAGCCTGATCCTTCACTAGGGGAAGTTTGCGTGAACCTGCGCGAGATATATCTTATGTGATAGACTCTCTTTAATGACATGGAAGTGAGAGAACCTACTACCTGACCATGGAGCGATAATACGCCTCATTACCTTGGAGAATGATCTTTACTCTGAAAGGAATCCAAGTGAAGTGTTAAGAAAATTTACTGTCTCAGTGGGTGTTCTGTCCTGGCAATGTACTTTTGGCTTATTCTTAGAATAACGTCGGGCTTTTTACTAATTGTCTAAGCAAACTTTTACTGCGTGTCTGGTGAATATGCAGATCATGGTTGCATCGACCACTCTGATGTTGTTCGCCGGTAGGTTCGGCCTTGCACCTTCCGCCAACAGGAAGTCTACCGCTGGATTGAAGCTCGTGGATCGAGACTCTGGCCTCCAAACTGGTGACCCCGCTGGATTCACTGCCACTGACACCCTTGCCTGCGGAGCCATGGGACACGTAATAGGAGTAGGGATCGTTCTAGGATTGAAGGCCACAGCTGGTCTGTAAATCGCTCAATTCGTCGGCATGACACAATGAAATTAAGATATTACCTACCACAGCTGTCTCACAATTTGTCACAATTGACACACATATCTTCCTTGAGGTGGTCTGTCCTAGTCGAAAACTCCCTTTTATCAAGTCCTGCCCATGCCCAAAAACGTACTGATATATTCCCTCTTGCAACGGTGGGATTTTCCTTCCAACTGTCAGAAAGTAATTTGCGAATTGCTTCAGATTAGAGTATCTCTTTCCCAAAGAATTGTATCACACGTTGCATTATTCACCTTCACCTTGTCAGACTTAATTACTTCAGGGATGAATGATTATGTTTTGCAAACGAGTATTCGTTGATCACAACTCTGACCCCCAGTATACATGACGTTACGAGAAAAGTTTTGCAATATTCAGCATTTGACAGGTCGGAGAGAAAACTGATATGCAACCCACTCACGTTGATGATATATAAACAACCCCTTAAACCAATATACAGTGGAGAAAGTGATCACATCACGAATGGGAAACCGCTTGCATTGTGTGAAAAAGGTTGTAAATGGTAGAAAGGGAACAAACCTCTGCCTTAACAATTTCCTACTCCGACTGAAAACAAGGCTTCAAGGGAAAAGTACATCCTGAACGCTGAATAATAATACTGGATGCGTAGTTTCCTGCTCTAACACACTCCACAATGTCTTTCCCTAACACCAACTGAGACAAGAATCCTCCAACAAAAGCGTCACCTACGCAGACAAAAAAACGTAATTAGACCACTACATTAGCGCTTTCGAGATCCAAGTAGTTGCGTTCTCCTTTCTCGAGGAGAATCATGATATATTGCACAAACGAAGAGCTCCCAGACAAAGCAAGATCCTGTGGAATTGATGGGGGATTAAATTAATGAGAAACTAACCAGCAGCATTAGTGTCGACCAACTTGTTCTTGGGGATGACGGTGATTGGGATCTCAGTCACCTGGGAGAAAACCATATACTACATATTCTCAACACCAGATAGCCCAGCATATAACAACGTGCATCTATCAGCGTGCAAATTTCCTTGAATATAAGATTAAATTAAGCAAATACCTGTCCATCTACAGAAACAATTGTGGGATCAGTTCCCTGAGTGATAACAGCAACACGCTTGTGAGTGCCGCTAGCTTTGGGCAACGCAGCCAACTTCACAGCAATAATCTTGGTGTCCTCTGTCTGCAGGAGGAGGCGGTAAGAAAGACTTAGGTCGTAGCCATCAGAATCCAACAATAGCTCAGACACCCACCAATTCAGACAGTGACGAGCAGGCACATGCAGTTGTGTCATCAAATGAATTACCTCCCAACCTTGAACTTGAGCAAATGTTCTGGCCTCGCTCTCATTGCCAAAAATGAAATCAACGTAACTGCAGGATCGCACGAACAATGTCAATTAGACCTAATTTTCTGTTTTCATCCCTGAAATTAGTGAAAGCCAAACGTGCTAAGATAATCTACAAGGTAGGTTGCTAACAAGGTGGGCGGAAATATTTACGGAAAAAGCTCCATAAGGTCTTTAAACTGGCAGATGAATGGAGCAGCCAAGTTTATCATGTAGTACTGGCACACACAAACATGAAGAAGTCGCTTCACTTAGTACAGCCATGTAAGTACTCCATTAATGAGGTCACTGATACTTGACATTCAGGAACATTTCAGTGTAGTACTGGAGAGATTATCCACTAAATCTAAAATAGAGAACCACCTTTCCAGTCTCGGCAGCATGCCTAGCCACGGTCATCATGGACTCCGGTGAAACAGCAAGGAAGAAACCAGAGCTATATATGAATTTTGCCCTTTCCACTGCAATTAATCAGACAGATACGAAGAGATAGTAAAAGAACCTATTAAGAATTTGCCTGGCTATCAAGGAAATATTGAAAAACGCAACTGCGTCCCACCTCCACGGAAACAACGGAAATAAATCTTGAGAATACAAATACGAAGGAGTAGCAGAGTCGCACCGCAAACCCAGTTTTCTGGTTTCTTCAAGTGATCGATCTTGTACTTCTTGGCGGCTGACAGATTAGCGACCAAGGATCTGCAGTAAATAAAAGGACGGCATGTGATATATTAGAATCTGCCGAACGAAGCTAAACCAACAAAATCCAGCATACATACAGAAAAAAATTATCTGAATGCTTTTGAAAGCCCATGATGATGGCGTGCGAGCACGTTGGGTTACACTACCTCTCTCCCTTGACTACAAGTACGCCACAGGTTCCAGTAGGGAGTTCCTCGTCCACATCATATTGGATCTTTAGCACAAGACACATGAGAACATCGACATCAGAGCTAAAAGATTAGAATTCATAAATATTCACACAAATTGTATATTCTGCAGCATATTGTACACACGTAAAGAACTTATGATCCAGACCGCGAGGTTGTTGGTCCTCGATACTCTGCAACTCACTATTCCGAAGCTCAACAATCAGAAGTATAATTCTAATAAACTATTCATTGTGGACATGATGTTCATACCCAGCACGAGAGACTTCAAAACAAAAAAAATAAAACAAGCTAAGAAGTCATCGTCGAAGACCCACACTTTCTCAGCGAAAAACATCAAGTTATGCACAATCTTGAGTACAAGCTTACATTGACGCCTCCCTCAGAGGCAAGCTTGTACATACGGTCTCCAAACTCATCCTTTCCAACGCAACCAATGTAGCTGGTTGCCTTCGGTTCGCGCAGCATCCACTGATCATTTCGAAAGAAAAACCAGGTTAAAAGATAATAACACTTTGAATTTGGATCTGTTACAGAATTTGAGGGAAAACACAATTTTACTATGACCTTTGTGCAAAACAGGGAAAATAAACGAATTCCACTAGTTATTATGTTAGAAAAAAAAAAAACGAAGCGACTTAACCGTCAGCATTAGCATACGCAATCAGCTTAATCTACTCGTGTTCCCGAAAAAGTACCTGAGCAATCCTGATGGTATTTTGAGTGGCACCTGTATCCAGGGCACGCACAGCACAGGTTAAGTTTTTTGTACCACTCATGACAGTGCCTAGTGAAGAGTAAGCAAGAGATCTCTCACACTACATCCCTACTCGGTATCCGAATTCTAAACTCACCTCCTGCAATGTACTCCACATCAGGTCTGCCAGCTAACTCCTTGTAACTGCAAGTCCAGAAGAGGTAAAATAAGCACACGAATATTTCACATGTGCAGATCCGCGTACATAAAGCTTTTGAAATATCATCTCAGGATTGTTACAAGAATGAATGCTTCCCCACAAACCATCCTCTCCCATCCAAATATTGCTGCGAGCAAATTTCTGTGACAAGCTATGGATGACCCCTGAAATCTCACTGTGCATCTCAATAATACCGACTTCCGAGGACTGACCGGGTTTTGTTCAGCTCACATGGGAAGGTGCTTGTCTTCAGCGAGTATGGCGTTGTTTAGGGTCAGTCCATACCTGCAGGTCCAGCGTCAAAGATCAGAACAAATAGACCAAATGCAAGAAAGATCAAATCTATCACTTAGTTCTGTGCTACGCAAATGTAGATTTCAACGCATATAGCTCAAGTTGACAGGTCGAAGATGATGCCTATTCTCTAGGACGATCTTCAATTACCATGTAAGAGAAGGGATGACACGTAATTAAGAAGGTCCACACGGACTGAACTTGCGATCGCTACTATTCCCGAACAACAGGGTTTTTTAGAGCAGAATCTGAAGATTCAGGTTGGGAAGAATACAGGAAACACAAAGTGCAAAATGCCCCAGGTCGAAAACAAGGCAAGAGGCGCATAAAAATAAAAATAAAGGTTCAAATAAAAAACTGGTTAAAAGAATGACAAAAAGGAATAGAAGGAAACATTACTTCTCCAGAAAAGCCTCGTCAACCACGCAAGAGATGTCAAGCAAGGGATTTCCCATTCCCAGAAGCACTCCTTCGGACGCCATAGCGAGAGAAGAGCGAGGGAACCAGATGGAGGAGCGGCGAATCTGATCCCCACAACGATCAAAAATTCTTGCAGACACGAGGAAACGAAAGAAAAGCGAACAAATTAGGGAATTGATAAGTCAACCCGTCCATCCTAACCATCAGCAAAAAAAATTGATTCTCCACTGCTGCAGCATCCGCAACCAATGGAAGAAGGAGCTCGAGAATTTATGTGCAGATATGTATGATGATGGGTGGGTCGATGTAGTATATGCATGTGTCGATTTAAAAATTCCCCAAAATAACACTCAAAAAAATAGTAACAAATTCCCAGAACTGCCTCCTCGACAACGCCAGCACCCAAAGAAGCGGCCGCAAAGTCCGCCTTTTATATCCAACAACTGCATGGATGACATTTTAGATGGAGGATGAAATGATAATCGTTCATCCCTGGATTCGATAGAGGGGGCTCGGGGGCCTTCCCTCGTCATCCAAATCTTTATCGACTTAAGAAAGAAAGAAAAAAAAAGAGAGAGAGAGAGAAAGAGAAAGAAAGAGACTGGTCTTCCTCAACTATAATGTTTTTTTACTTATAAAACATCCACATCAGCTTTGCGAGTCTACTATGGATGTTGAATCTACAACGTTAGCCAAACGCAAAAGCTCATTAAACGCAAAAGCTCAGGAAGGAAGTTCAGAGCCCACGTCTGTAAACCAAAGCCAAACCCAGCATAAAATGTAAATAGGAGCTGGCATGGCAACGATACTAACAAAGTGTGATCATCGGTCCGGAAGTTCAAAAGAAAAACAACATGATGATCATCATGTGAAAGTGATCCACAGTGGTCTCCTAAAATTTTGTCGGAAGGTTGAGAGTGGCGATGGAATTGAGGAAGATATTACCGCCGACGACCCCTCACATCTGTCGCACCCTTGTTAGAACGTTCTAGTACATCTCGAGACTCTTTACTCGTTCCCAACAGTACACACCTGTTATAATTAAAGAAAACCGATCTCCTCTTCCAAGCCAACATTTTCGCCTCAAGATCCTCCAATTGGCAAGCACTAATTATGATAATATCTGCCAAACTTAGCAGCCATTGAACACTAATCCTCACGTAAGAAGCCAAGATGATAAATGGCTTGACTCATGCCGTTGTACGCATGCACAATATCGCTGCCAACCACATTGATTTTTTAACTGGTAAAATAATGCATATCAACAAAACGAGAACCATGAAATGAAGTTGCCAACCATATATCAAAACGTTCCAAGTGTTCTAAAATCTAAACTCCACCTGTACGCAGTGCACGGAGGGAAGAAACGACGTTTCCTTCAGCATCTATCATGATACTACTAAAAACGGACCAGCTCTGTACACGCTCATTGATATGCGCGGAAGTATCACAGCACTGTACAAACAGTAATTAGCAAGAAATCAAGCCTACCTTATTTCTGAGGGCGTGACAGTAACTTACACTACTCTGCTGATGTACATCGAACCATGCCTTACCGTAACCGACCTATCTGAAACCATGCTCCTTTCACAACAAGATCCCGACTGTAATCAAGAAGTAGTCTGTCGGTTTCAGACCACTACGAGTGTTAGCAATGATTAACCTTGACAATCGTGCATCTATAGGGATTTTAGCAGCACGTCAAGTGCAGCCCTTCGACTATATTGTGTATCAAAGCTCCCATAACCTAATCTTGACATCGCAACTTCATGTTCACATTCATAGTGGCCAAAGGTAAATAAAAAGAAAAAAAAGAAGTCGGGCAGGTCCCGCCACCAAGTACACCGAGTGGTAACACTTGATTCCTAAAACAATGAGTTTATTGCAGAAAGGATGCAGGACATAATACAGAGGATCTTTAAATCCGGCTGCTCTGGGATAAGCACCAAGCAGAAAACCACACAGTTGCACAATTCAAAAAACAGTGTACAGCCGTCATCAATTCTCCCAAAGACCATCAGCGCCAACGACATGCTAATCTACTCTAAACTATTCTGCAGGAATCAGTCGTCGAACCTCCGATCTTTGCAGATCAATTAGGGGACCAGGAGCATAGAGTAGACCAGTCCCTCTCACCCTGTACATTAACGGTAACTATTTCTTCATTGCCTGCTTCGCGGGTTGTTTTTGCCCATTCACTTGGGCTGCCTTCTTCGCCATTTTCTCCTGCAAAGCCTTAGCGTCACGCTCGCGACGCTGCTCCGGCGTCAAGCCATCGTCTCGCGCTTTGGTCGTCTTGGCTCTCGCAGCGGCCCTTTCCCGATCCTTCTCCCGCTGGTTACCCCTCGTCATCCTTGCCAGCACAACCTCGCCGCAAACGCTCCAAATAACCGCAACCTACGCGACGAGTCCAGATAACAACTACCACACCCGGAGAGGAGTAAGATTGAGGCAAGAAGCGGCAGAAGCCCTCGGCGGATGGGAAAGAAAACACGAGAAGAACCAAAAAAAACACTACCAGAGAGCGGCAACTGGTGGCGAGAAGCAGCATACTAAGCTAACCGGAGAAGAAGAGCTTATCAGAAGTCTCTGGAAGTTCGCCGATGATAAAGCTTGCCACGCGCAAATCGATGAGAACTGGGCGACGAAACTGGTGGCGAGAAGAACGATGCCCTAACTTGGTAACGACGACGCGGAAATGACGTGGACGATGTCCACCACCGCATACGTTCCAACCCTTCGTTCGTGACGTGGAGGGGTTGGTTCCGATCCGAGCTGGACAGATCTGGCCATCATTCACTTTTCCGAATGCCTATGGCCCATGTTTCCATCTAACGCTTTGATGCGACTGTCATTAACATTCATGAAATATAAAATATTCAATAACTCGATTTTTAAGCCTTGTAAGAAGGAAGATTTATCTATTATTATTTTAATCTACATAATCACTTATTGTGTAAGGAGTTATATATAAATATAAATGAACAAAAAAAGTAACCAACAAAAATAACAAATTGTAAATTATATCACTATGTGCATAAAACAACTGAAAACATCTTTCAAAAATTACTTGGTCATAAAAGTGATATATATATATATATATATATATATATAAATGTGTGTGTGTGTGTTAATGTCTAAATAAGTAGAAAACCATTTTGTAATTAAAAATAGATATAAAATCACATGGCACCCTCATATGCAAATAAATCTTGTTAAGACCCATAACTTGTATTTCCACAATTTAAAATGAATGAATATCAAATGATTTCTTAGAAATATAATTTTCTGTTTATTCAAATTTACTTTGTGTGTTTTTGTAAAACTGTTGATCGTAATATACTTTATCTTTGATAGAAGCATTTAAGCAACAAAAAAATTCCTTGCACATTTTCATTTAAGATTAAGATTTTTAAAATATGTTATTTTCAGAGAAGTCGTATATTATTCTTTAGTGAAATGAACAATGTGTAACATAATTACTGGTGTCGATTAAAACCTACTTTTCAACCAATACAAATGCTTTGAATCAAGATTCAAAACAATGCATTTGACTAACAATTTTGTTGTTCCAGTATGAACTACTTTTGATTCTCACACAGATACTCAAATGAACAGTGAATAGATCTATAGATAACCTAAAAGACTATTGAATTACTGATTTTTCAGTTTAATTTGTTCAACGGGTTTCGGTCTCCGAGACAGCCACGGTCATAGGCGCGCAGGGGTAATGCCCACTGCCAAAAATTCGGTGCGGAGAGTGTTTTGCTACTGTTGTTATCGGTGAAGGTGTTGTTGTTATTGTGGTTGCAGCAACAGCAGACAACAGGAACAGTTCTCGAGCGGGGTCACAAATAATGCGGAAGAGGATTGTGTTGTGAGAAACCGGAGAGACACACCGTAAGAATGGCTATTAGGGTTTCGCTCCCCCCCTCAAACGTGGTCATTCCCTTGCGGCTTTCGTCCCTAGGGCGCCAATCCCATCCCGCAGCGTCGATATCAGGCGAGAAGTTCACGAAAACGCTTCTGAAATTGCAGTTGCCAGCTGGTATGTGGCTCACGAGTGGTCTCGGGGCGCTTGTTTGACTTAATGTGTGGAATTCTGCCAACGGCATTGTGTACCTGAAGGTTGCGGCGTCATTTTTATTTATTTATTTATTTTTATTTATTTTTATTTGTATATGTTTTTGTTTGTTCCCGCTTCTTCTTTTGTTTCAAAAAATGTGTTGAAATCTTTCATTTTGATCTAATCTTAAAAAATTGGAGTTAATTTTGTCAAGTGCACAGTGTTGTTGATGTGTAGTAAACATATAGCACTTAGTGATTTTTTTATTTTTTATTTTTTTATTTTTTCCAAGTTGCAACGCTTCACGTTGATGCATGCTCCTGGCGTAATTGTTTCTTGTTTTGATCTGTTTGTTTCTACCTTTTCACTTGGTGATCATGTAGGCTCGTATCAATACCAGTTGATATCAAGGCGACCGTCTTTCAGCCTCTCCGTCATTTGCCATTCCACTAATGGCAAGCCACTGAATGGGAATATGAATGGTTCCAGTGAGTCATTGCCAGATTATGAATCTTTTGATGTAGCTGGTATTCAGCCTTTAGGTGAAGGCTGGGATCCTTGGAAGCTATCAGGTGAATATTCTGGTTCTAGTGGAGGGGAGGGTGATACTTCTGTTAGGAATCCAGGGGGTGAGACGTCAGGAAGGGGTGGCATGGATGTAGTGCCTAGAAATACAGTGAACAAATACGGTGCCGTTGGTAACGAAGGAGAGGAGCCTTTTCGAATACTGGCAGATGGGAGGAAAGCATATTTGGATGAATTGGATGTTTTAACCTTACTAGTTCCACCCCCGTTTTTAAAGCCTATGTCGAATAAGAACTACAATCATGCAGCATTTTTGTGGTAAGTAAGAATCCCAAGAGCTCGCTAAGTGAACATACAAGATGTTAAAGCATCTTGTCAGCTATATTTTTCATGCAGTGGATTGTCAGGTGTGAAGCTGTCATTAGTTGCGAAGAAGTTTGTGGAAACCCAAAGTCGTCAAAACATGGAGATGTGCAGGAAAAAGATCGCAGCCATCCCAGAGGAGCGCAGGCATCGGTTACTTGACTTGCTGGAACCCAGGTAAGCTGGCATGCCTGTTTGTCTCCTACTGTATTTGTTCAGGCTTGTACTTAATTTATTTATTTATTGTGCTTGCTCGTCCTTAGAATTTCTTTTACGTCGACTTAGAAGTTGTAAACTTGGAGATGTTTATCGCCAACTCAAGCTTTAGGTTGCAGCTGTTCGCACAACCCTCATGGTGCGCATCTGCAGTATTTATCAGTATGCTCGTGCTACGTGGAGTTACTACCAGGCCTCTTTGTACACTAATTGGGAGCGACAGTGTGCACGAAACATTGACCAGTGGTTTACTTGATTTTTCCGCTATTCTGCGATCATTTGAAAATCAATCTGTATGCATGTTTGCACAAGCAGGCACATAACCGCAATGTGGAAGATGACAGAGCTCAGATATGAAGATCCGGGGCTCTATCTGCAGAATGCTTCACGATTTCTCCTTAATCCAGCTGCTGAACCCCTCCAGCCCTTAGTCTGGACGGGACAAGTAAATGAAGGTAGAGGTTCTAAATGCCATATCTATCTGCTTTGTACGTATTCCGGCGTTTTTGGGTTTTTCTCGTTGAGTAGATTATCTACAAAATTTTGTGTCGAGTTCAGAAAGTTGAACAGACGAAGATTTTTTGCCCTTGTCAAGTCACTGCAAAAAGAGCTGATTCATGGAATTGGGTGATTTGGCTGGTATCAGTGCCCTGGGTTTTCAACTTTTTGAGCCGATTTAAAAAGGTAATTTGTAGTGTAAAGAACAATCTATATATATATATATATATATATATTTGTTTTAAAGCAGTTCTTGTGAATGTTACTGTCTTACTCTGATTCACTTATGTTTACTGCTACTTTTGCTTGAACCCATTTTATATCGTTTAATATTAGCAAGTGGATGCTGCAGGCTTTTTTCTACAGTCAAGATAGAGAGTTATATGGCAGGGTGATTACAGGTGAGTCGGTCGAGTGGTATTGTATAGCTTTCAGGGTTGCACTGAATTCAGACTAGTGAATCGGTGTATATTTTGACATCACATCTCAGTAGTCATTTTGTTTCACACTTAGAGATCGTTCAACAAACTTGAGCAAGTTGGTACTGTTCGTAACAATCTTTTCTTGACTAGGCGTTCGTGGCGTTTTGCATAATGCAGGAGGCGGTGTGCTGGAGGGGCTTGGGAACAAAGTTGCACCTCTGTACTTCAAAGTCAGACCAATAAGAACTGTATTAGCCACAAATGAGCAGTGCGACTTCGCCTTTTCTTATGATGATGGGCATTTTGAATTGAAAAATGCTGTGCCGAATGGATTTCCACAGCCAGGTATCTTTGGGATATATTGACTTGTACAATACTGGTGCTGATGACTACAAAATTGAAGTGTTAGTCATGCGTTCTGATATTGTTGATTAGTGTTCTTGATTAGCGCATTGTGGATTGGTGCCCTAATTGTGATTTGTCATTTGACAGGAAAGCACCCATTCGCCTTTGGCAAGAAGTTTTATGACTATGTTCGTGTAGTTGGTCCAGGAGTTGTCGTTGGACAGTCATGGTATGGATCTGCATCCGGTAGTGAAGTTTCTAGGAATAGTGAGTTGGGTCCTCGTAAGTACTTAGGTGAGTTTTTGTTAATTCAAAACTATGCGAAAGTCTCATCATGATATGTGCTTAATTCTTGACACTCATGTCAATCAATGTAATGTACACGGCATGTCTCTTTATTTCATCTTGTACAAGTATGGGTCTGGTGCTGATACAGTCGTGATTAATCCCTACCAACAAATGTGTTTCCTGGTGCAAAGAACTTTTGGGATATGTTTCATGTTTTGCGCAGCAGTCTTCCATCTTTTATGTTATAATGAAGTACAATTCCAGGTCATGCCACGAGGCATTTTTGCATAATTGTACTCACTGCGGTGCAAAGTTCTGTAGTCGGCTTTACTGTGCCTCGTATCATGTACCGTTTACCGTGTTTTGTTACTTATACGAGAAGCGAACTTGACAGTAGGGTGTGTATACAAGTAGTATGAAGTGAAGAATAGTTATCTCTTTTTCGGCTAATTATATTTGTGCCTATACCTGCGCAATACGAACTAAAACTATTTGTTTTGAGGTGAATTGAAATGTAAATTGGAAACAACGCCATCAGCCTCGATTTGATCCGCTTGTGGTCTGTATCCCTGTTGCATTTGTCTTAGATATCAATGGTTCTAACAGTAAAGATAAATGACTTTTGTTGATTCATTCCTGTCTGTTTTGTCGATATTGGACTTGAAAAACATTTCCAACTATTTTTAGGAGCGTCGAATCCGTTTTGAACGAGAGACTTTTGAATGGGGAAACAGCATCAGGAAACCAGCACTTCCACCAACACATCTACTCTTTGAATGTGCTCTTTAAAGGTTATGAATGCAAGCTCTCCACGACAACGCCTTCTGCTTAGGATTTCTACAAAAACTATCCAGCTTCGTAGCGTGGTGCAGAGAAGCTGCAGAACTGGATTGCGTATGCTACCTCCTGTTCGCCGGAGATGGTTCTCAATAACCCGTCTGGACCCCGCCAGAAGTACTCCATGTTGCTGAATTCGAATCTCAGACTGCCGGTGGCTGATTTCAGATACGATGCTGCCCGTGTGCTCAAATAGCAACACATCACTCCGACAAATCAGCTCATCATTCAGACGTAGATAGAATAATGGTGACTTAAAGCCGAGGTCTCAAACTACCCAATTGGCAATGATTTTTCAAAACCCATGTGTGTTGATTGAGGGCAACATGAAGCATGGCCGTGAAAGCTTTCTGTGCTCCAAGTTGGCCACTCGTTCCTTAAGCAAGTTAACGACGAACACCGCAAACAACGATTTCTATAAATGCACAATCTCAATCGCGTGTTAACCCATTCTACCACCGACGGACCAGCCACCGGCAGAAGCGCAATAGGGAAGTGGAAACACGAGGTAAAATGGCGTCACAATTCACAGAGGAAACCTGGCCATGGCGGAGGCAAATGTTTGCGCTGTCGTCGTCAGGGTTGGTCATAGGCATCGGCCGTGAGGGAGGCGGTGAGAGGGTTCCACGGTATGATGGATGAATGTGATCTCTGTCCCAGCTGGATGGGCTTTTGTGGGTGGGCTCTGCGATTCCTCCTCCGCTTGAGAACTTTGCCGCGTGCGCAGCTCGCGCAACTTGTTCTGCTTCCCGATTCTTCGTGATTGTTGGTGCGTGTGCCAACTCGGACGTTTTTACAGGATTTCGTGGTCTCGGAAGCAGAGTATTATCCATAGCGAGTGTATCTTTGCTTGAGAGCATTAAGGAGCCCTTTCTCATGCGCAGGTGGGGAGCCTGCAATGGCGCTCGTGAGCTCGCGTTGTGGCGCAGGGGGACATAGTCTGTGTAGTCGTCAAGCGTTGGAGACGAACAAGGTTAATGGACGCTCCGGGAGCACTGTAATTGTGGGTGGGGCTCTGTGGAGCTCGATTGGCAAGTCGTGTACTGGAGCGGCTTGCTTTGTGCCTTCGGCTGTGTGTGTGAGGCGTGGGAGATTTGTGTGTCATGGCAATGCGTGGGTGCTGAGGCGAGATCAGAAGGGTGGCCCCCGTGGGGTTTGTCTTCATGGTGACAAGCATACTAGGGCTAGAAATGTCGAGATTGCTGCTTTGAACAGGAAGGATTTAGACGCGTGTGGAAGTGGTGTAGCGGAAGGATTGTTCGATAAATTCCTGGAGTATGCTGTAAGGGCAGTAGAGCAACGAGCAGACATCTCTCCGCTTCCCTGCCAGGTACAATTTTTCTGATCTAACGATTGAGTTAGCCTCGATCTAACTCTTGTTGACCTTCTACGGGGATAGAGGTTAGGGTGTGATGCAAACGTGTACGATTGTGGTTCACGAGTTTATACTTCCTAGAAACCGAATCGGTGTTCCTGACTTTATGTAGTCCTCATGAGAAGTGGTGGGGCAAATTCAAAGGGCCACCTGGCTGATTTGAATGATTTCTGTCGACGCCAATTTATCTTGTACCACCTTGGCTATTAAGATAGAAATCCCAAATTGGGCGGAGAGGAGGGCAGATAGGATGCAATTTTATAGTTTGCAACGAGATTTATTATGTGGACTCAGATGATAACGTTCACTGTTCCAGACGATAAGTCGTAAATAAATAACTTTTATTTTATAACTTTCCTACTCAGTTCTGGGAAAAGGTGAATTTTTGCACTCCACATTTGTCATTGCTCTCTCGTGTATTGTTTGTAATCTAATGTTTATGGGTCTAACCTGTTATGCAACATTTGAATTGTAGGGTGAGTTTCAGAATATGGTGGCTGCTGATGGACAGTCTGTGGTCAAGAATGTTGCTTTTGAATCCACGAAATTTCGTCTTTTTCGATGCGCAACTATAAATGGTGGAGATAACATGCAGGTCTTTTACGAGAGCCTTGCTAGTTTTCTTTAATGAGAGTTTTCGTCTCTTTTAGCTATGTAACTCGTTCTTCTTTTCGATGTGATGGTTTAACTGTAGCCTCTAACAGGGCGTTCTATGTGAAGCTGAGAGACTGCGTGGGTAGGGTGCAGGTGTTGAATGTGGCTATCTGTGCACGGCCTGAATACGACCTTCCAATATTTTGCGCCGATTTTTTCTCAACTGCAAGGATGAACATCGTGGTTCTGTAAGCATCGTGACACTCTTCTACATCTAGGGCTGATATAATAGAGTATAGTATAGTGTCTTGTTCTACTAGTCAAACAAAAATTTCTCTTTTTGTTGGCTCGGTGTTACACGCGCAGTTTTTGGAGTACGAAATATTATATATGTGTAACTCACGATTGCGACTGATTCGCTCTTGCTTAATTGTCATTGCCATTGAAGTGATGTGGTGCAACACTTTTTTTTTGTGTGTAGAGATTTGAACCCTTTATATAACACTGAGCAGAGGCCTGAATATAAGGAGAAGTATTATTCTCGCATATTACCGCTGGGCAATAAGTATGCAGAGGTAAGATATTGACAATATTGCTTTTGAAGTCCTGGATGTTCGTGCAAAGCAGATAAACATGTTTGGGCTCTTTTGAGACGGATTTTGTATAGACCACTAAGTCGATGATGATGTCAGTCTTCAACCATAGGCACTAAGGACTCTTAGTGCTCATTTTAAAGTTATGCAACCTTCAGACTAAATTAATGTATGCTCTTGTTGTTGGGATTGCAGTTGCTACCATGGGGTGACAAACTCACTGCAGAATCGATACAATTCTTTTCACCTATTGTTTTATGGACCAGACCTGCAAGCCGTGAAGAGATTCAAGAGACAGTGTTCCGTGCTTTCAAAGACTATCTTGATGTATGTTACCTTTTTCCATTTACTTACACTAGGGATTTGGAAATTTACCACTTTACATTTTAAGTCTTTCGTGTAGTTATTCAGCTAGCACAAATTATAGACTACAAAGAATTTAAATCTTTCCATGAATCTTCTGCATAGTGGCTCTTTTAGGTGGTGGTTCGAAACATAGCATCGAAAGGCTTTATGGCTTGGAAAATTTACATTCTGTTGAATGGTGGAGGAAGTTATTCGCGGTCTTATACTGAAATGTTAGACAAATGTTAGAACTTTTCAGACCAGACAAAAGAGTTAAGTGTAGTAATGATCGAGTCCTTTTGTAAATAATGGTAATCTCCAACTGCTACATAAGGCTCCCATACTAATGGTGCATCCAGTCCGGGAAATCGAGGTCACGAAGTTGCAGAATTTACGACAGCTTTGAAGAACAAAGATTGTAGGTATATCTTAAGCATGCGTTTTCTAGGAGTACTGGGGGTAGTGAATTTTTTTGCATCTCTAACTACTTGAAAATTGTGTTGTTTTGGAAATATATAGGCTTGGTTGGACATGGCGGACAAAGCAAATCCGTCTAACGATGCCTATGAGATTGCAGAAAACCAAGAGTCTCATCATCGGTATTTGATGTGGCGTGCTACGAAGGTATTTATCCAGATCGGGCTGCCAGTTTTTTCGACGAAAACTATACAAGTTTTTGCTAGTTTTCTGCTTCGAACAATCCACTATTGTTAGTTTACCGTTTCTTATTAAATTCTTGTCGTCTACCGGATATGCAGGATCCAGGAAGGTACCTACTGATGCGCCTCTTTGGGGAGCCTCTGTGCGAGGTTAGTACCTATTTTAACTCTCTTGGTCTCTCTGTACCACTTTCACGTGGTAAAATTCATATATTAATTTTGTCCGTGGGCCTTATAGGCGATTTTTCCTGTTAAGCCAATTTTCACCTTTCATCCCACTACAAATGGAAGTCCTAATAGAAGTGCAATTTAAGTCGCTAGGTGTGAATCAACTATAACATGCGGATGTTAGCACAGTTGCGTGAGGTCCCACTGGAAAAGGATATGTCAATCGTTGAAAACTGATCCCAATGAAGAACGACTTGGGTAAAGAGGTGCTGTGTGGTGTTTCAAGTACGACCTTGTAATGTGATACGTTCATCGTATCACTACTACCCACATACTCTTTATCCACTCCGGTTCTTTGGGATTTGGAGTTTTCATGTGATGCGTTCATCTTTGTTTGACCCCCACACTGTATGTTGTGGCTTCTCTTGCAGAGGTATATAACCGAGTTCTTGTTCAACGGGGTGAATACGCTTGGGACAAAAACATTTTTGGACTATTTTCCAGAATATAGAGGGGTCGATGGTAGCATCATCAAGCAGCGTAGCGTGGTTGGAAAGGCCTACGCAGAGCGTCCTTGGAATAAGGACGGGACCTTCGCTCCTATGCTTCATGAAGTGTAAAGTAAGAATCTTGGACGTTATAGTTTTGATCAATTCTCCTTAAGCTACGTCGTGAAGCACACTATTAGTTGTACATATGAGCTTTTTAAGATCAGTGGTTTTAAGATCAGTATTGTGCAGTATTGATTAATAGTAGTAGAAGTTGTAGTAGAATATTTTGCTGTGCTTCTAGTGCAACTAGGGGATGGGTGTGCCTCCCCAGATTTTTTGTTATGAAAGTTTCAGTTTCGGTTAACCCTTTACTAGCAGTTGTGCATTTGCGAAGACGATATGTGTCTGGGTATTCACTACTGCACCGTATGAAGATATTATTATTGGCCTTCATTGTTATCTGGAAACATTCCTAGTGATAAAGAAAGGAGAATACTGAGTGGGTACTTGCTTGATTCTGGTTCATGCTTGAGATTCGGTGTTTCTTTTCTATGATTTGTATTCACTGGGATGATTAACTAGTTTCCCCTATGAATTTCTGGGTCCCATAGTGCTCACTGCTAACGTGACGATGAAACATCATGTTGTGATTTGTGTATCAAGAATGTGCCAGATGGACACGAATTGTCAATGTCAAGAAAAAATTGAAGTCAAGGATATGTCGATTGATTGCAGGTCTAATGTCTTAGGTTCAACATTTGATTTGCTTTACAGAAAAATGATAATGTTTTCAATCAACATTCAAATGGCTAGGAGTCTCTTGAATGTGTACATGAAGCATTTTATTCTTTTATTCTTTTCCTTATCAAAAGCCACAACAATTGCAATCATCTAACAAAACAAATAATACTCTTTATTAGAGATATAAAAGAGCATATGGAATGGCCTATTAACACTGATGTGGTATAATTAAGTTTTTGGAACGAAAATTTTGAAAGGCAAAAACTTTACAAATTAATATAAAATTGTAGCACACTTTGTGGTTAAAGCAATTTGAAAAGCAAATATAAGGCTATACTATTTGGTTGATTTTTTAACCTTATTTTTAAACAAAAACTAAGAAAGAATAGAGCTTCTTTTAACAAGTGGTCCAAGACTACTTATTCCAAATATAAAAATTGCAACAATAACCAAGTAATAAAATTAGTAAAAAGAAATGTATTAGGAGAAAATGGGACCATTGAAAAGACCTTGATCATTGTGGTGATTGTGAAAACAACTTGGTTGGAAGGCAAGACCACAATTGCAAGTATGATTACCATTTGTTAGACTTCAATGTATTATACCTAAATCAAAATAAGGCCTTAAATGCTACTATGTATACAAAAGTTTAATATATGATTTTAAAATTTTAAAATATGTAAACATACTTAATAATGCATAAATATGTAAATAAATATCCATACATACATATGTATATTGAGTCATAAAATTATAAAATTTTGATTTAGAAAAAAAAAGAAAGAAAATCAACTTAAATTATTTTATTTATAATAAAAATATTTTAAATTTATAAAATTCTAAATATTAACACTTTATACAAGCAAAACCTTAAATTTTAAATCTAATAATTCTTCAAATAACTATCATTGTTATTATTCAACAATCTTTATAAATACTTTGTTAATATAGTAATATTGTTATTTAGCATTACTAATACTTTTTATTAATACATTAATATATTTTAGTTAAATAACTATTTTACTAATACATTTTACTATTTGAGTGCTTTATATATATATATATATATATATATATATATATATATATATATAATATTACAAGCATGAGATACACTAAATATTTAGGAGTATATTCCAAATACTTCTAAGAGCCAAATTTGATGACTATTTAAATTGCATGACTACTACTTTAGTTAATTATTATAAGAAAAATATTTTAAAGTTTACTAATTAATTCTTTAATAAAAACTCAATATCTTGTAATTAAAGAACGATTTTTTTTCTTGTTCTTATATAAATATCCATCAAAATTATTAAATAAATTATCTTAATTATTAACTCAAGATATTATAATACCAATTTAGTCAATTTTATTTTGACAAATTTTTTAATAATTTTAGTAAATAAAATTTAAAATTATTTATATTTTAATATCATATAATATATGTATAAATGAATATATATATATATATATATATATTTAGATAATATTTATTAGTTTTAAAATATTTTTAAATAAATATCATTTTATATTAATCAAATAATACAAATAAATAAACTATGATATAGATGACAAATTTTATATGTGAATATTAACATAAATTAACTACTAATAAGAACCATGTTTATTTTATTAGTTACTATTTCATAAATTTTCATAATTTAATGTCATATAATAATATTATTTATATTTTATAATAATAGTAAAAATATTTTAATATATATTTTAACATTTTAAGTAGTTAAATCAAGCTATAATTTTTTTTTTCTAAAGCAATCAACATTATCCTTTATTCTCATAGACAGACAAAATTATTACATATTTGATTGCCCTTTTAGATTTTGTAAGATAGTGAATTTATTTGTAAAACTGTTTTAAAACCTTAATTTTTTTTAATATCTTCTATAAGATTCTAAAATATTTTTAGTAGTGTAAAGGTTTATAAAACCCTATAAACTCTCTATTCTCTTTTTAAAATTTCAATAAGAGAAACTTTTATATGTTTGGTATGTTAAATAATATTCATAATATCTTTTAGTGGTTTCAATAGAATATGGTTTCTATAATATAAATAAGAAAGGAAGACAAGAAATACCTCAATCTAAATGATATTTCGTTTTTAGTCTTATTTCTATGTAGTATTTTAGTACATTTGTACTTCTTGATTTCTCAGACATTTATCTTTGCATTGTTACCACTTTTTTTCTTTTCAATAGTTGGTGTATTTAGTTAGGATACAAATATACTACTTAAACAACTAAAAACACATTGCACAATATTTGTAGCTTTTTAAATATTGTTTATTTATAATTGATTATAAAAATACTAATATTCTACTTAACACATTCATTGATTTTTAAAATTAAAATACCAATAATTTTTTTAATAAATTTTATTACAATATATATATATATGTACCAATTTTATTTTATGATTTTTATAACTAAATTTTATTCTTTTAAAATTCTAATGTTATAATATATATATATATATATATATATATATATATCAAAGATCCATTTAATTGATTTTAATAAAATAATGTTGTAAAAATAAATAAATAAAGCTTATATTTTTAAGTTTTGAAAAGTCTTTTAAAAAAATAGCCAAATAAATCTTAATTGTTTTAAATGTTTGTCGTAGGTGTTCAATGTATATCAATACTTTCAAAATTAACATAATGATAAGTTTTTTTATTACCTACATACTGCACGTAAATATCTATTTTTGTATAATCAAACAGATACATGAATCATTGATTGGTGGTAAATATGTGTTATGTGCAAAATGTATTATCAATTGTTCTTTGATTTAGATTTAGCACAACCGCATCCTATCAAAATTAGTTCATTTTCCACATATTTTGAACTAAGATTTAAAAAAGACATGGCCCACCACAACTTTTTACAATTATAGAACATTTCTTGCAGTCTGCACACTTTTTTTTTTTTTTTTTTTTTTTTTTTCCCTGCTCATTTTTCAACTTATATGTTCTCAAATTTTAGAAGACATTTGTGTAGTTGTGAGTTTACAGAATTGATGGTCAACCAGTGGCTTTGCAAAACACAAGAAGTCTAATCTTATAACACAAACCTTAATTATTATTTTTTTCCTTATTGAATGAACAATACAAAACAATTAATGAGTCACCTACCAACGGACAATTATTCCCATGACAATATTAAAAAGGACCAGGTACCAGAGATCAATGACAGCTGGTACGAGGTATCTATCAATTTTCTAGCAATTTTAATAACTCATTCTCTTTTAGGAAGAAGGACACTACTAATCGTAAATGGAGCCACATTAATTTCTTTTTATCTCTAAGACAACGAAAATAAGAAAAAATCGAATTAACTAACTACGTAATAAAAACAAAATCAACAACAGAATCACAAGTTTTGTTTCCCTCGGAAAAAAAAATTAAGGTTTATACTCGTGAAAACAACCAACACTAAAATGGTACGAAAGCTGCAAGATCTGCACTTTGTAAGAGGAGGCTGACTGGGCACCAAGAATGATAAACAATTAATTCACAAGCACAGTCGGTGGTGTGCAGAATCGCTTTAAATACATGATCTCTGTCCTTTATCCAAGCTTGGGTCCATTGCACACAGCAGATGCGTGATCACTGTCATTAGGCATGTTCCCCACTGTTCATGCTTTAAGCAGAACTCTTATGCTTACTAATAATGAAGCAGAGCCAATCAAGGAATTACGATACTGAAATGGATGAATTCCAATAGTAAGAACAAATGCCCTCATCTGTACAGGTTTGGAAACCCACCAGGTTGGAGATTGACGGCAGGATATTTTCGACGAAATTGAAGGATTAGATAAAAAAATTAAAATTAAAATCTACATAAGAAAACAGAAATGAAGCTTTGGATTGCTTGCGTTGTCTCCAAGTCTGTTTCATTGCAATACCCAGAGAAACATGTACGCCAGAGATGGGTGTGTACACCTCTCCAGTAGAAGTTCCAAAAACAGGGTGCATAGCCTAGTTCTATCAGCAAGGAAGACATTGAACAGTTTGGGCAGGAAAGAGGAGAGCACGTCTGTATATTGAATGGCACAAATCTTGCACAGGGCTAGGACTTAACGAAAACGCTAAGTGTGAAGTTCCAAATTTATATACAATAGAATATCAGCTTGAGACTTCTTCAGCGTTTATGAATTCTCTAATACCTAGTTCAGAAAGTACCGACTTATGAGCCAACTACAAAAAAAAACTTTAGTTCCTTCACTTACGAGCTTTCACCCATACTGTTCTATGCCTCCTGTCAACTCGTTTATACGATGGGGTGTCTTCGCGTAATGCAGAACCTTGTCATCAAGCGTATCACAATGGTCTGCACTGGCGAAGACACCTTTGCCTCTTTGCTCCAAGAGGCAATTAAGGCAATGACATGAACTCGAGTGCAATGCACGACGATTCTCCTGCCTTACTGCGATGCCTTCAATGAATCTACTTTCTGACGCATACCCTCAATGGCGAGGTCAAATGCATCGGTCACTGTTTGTGCAAAATCAGTACCAGAAGGATATCTGTACAATACATTGGGAATCATGGAGATGAGCTTCTCGCGCATCTTACGTACTTGAGCTGGAGTAATCTGCTTCAAGCTATCCTTAACGATGCATGTGCCATTCATTACACAATCTTCCGGAATGAAGACAGAATAAGTGTCAAGGTCGGAAGGAAGGTGCCAGGTGTATTGAGTTTCAGCCGTGTCTTTGTGGAAAAGGACAGGAATGCAGCCTGAAACGATAGAATCGATTGTTGATCGGCGGGTTGCAGTGTCCCCTCTGGGCTGCAAGCAAAAATCTGCCTGTAGAAGACTATCATAAATTGGCTCTGGGTTGTGACTGCACTTGATTGTAGCGCAATCAAGTCTTGAGCACTTGGTTGATGCATTGGCACATTGCTGTGATAACTGGTCACGAATGCTTCCCACCTGGCCCGGCCTTAGAGCCCCAGAGAACGAGAATAATGCAGTGCGCTTTGTATCCCGCACTCTATGGATCCAAAGCTCAAGGCTAGCGGAGGAAGATGGGTGGAAACCCACTGGATATGGGATAGCTTGCTCGTTTGGCCGCCATGGACGACGCTCTAGGACCATGAACGTAACATGCTTCATTGCATCCAAATCAAATAAGGACGTGCCCCAATCCTTGCCGCCTTCCTCCGGATGCGCAAAATCCCAGGCCGTTCTGCCAGCGATCATGAAATGATCTTGGCCTCCATACCGCCTCCAAGACTCCGTAGCATTTTGACGCAACCAATCAAGAAGCTCCAGACCTTGCTGTTGCAACCTCATCGACTCGTTATACAGGTAAGGCAACGCGTCCAGACCAGCGAAGAATGGCACATAAAATATGTCGGCATTGACTGGTGAGTCCGTCAAACATTGATAGGACTTCATTCTCTCGAAAAATATAACCTCCAGCATGTATGCATCAGTGCGATACCAATCGTCGCGAAACATGGAAGCACTGGCCATAACTCGCTCTCCAAATCCGTGATTCTGGTAGTGTTTACAGAACTTAATCCAATGCACTAATCCCCCTTCGCAGAATTGAAGTAGAGCAGTGTTGAAGCTTGGCGGAATGTCGTACATGTGTACTCTCCTTCCCTGACAACTCTCCGATTGAAGCATCAATTGGTGCAAGGAAAGAGGCACCCCAGAGCTGGGACACGCCCACCTTGTGAAGAGCACGATGAGGAACAACACGCAGCATTTGATAGCCAGCTTTTTCTTCGGAGGTGGCGACATCTTGTGTATTTTTGGGGTGAACTTCGCACTATCCTTGCAAACACCACACAAACCTCAGCTCTCGCACGTATCTCAGGCGGTTAACGACACTTAATGCAAATACGGATTCATTCTACTCCTCCCCACACCTTGTTTTTCGTGATAAGAAAATGCCGGTTGCCGAGGAAGATATAGCGATCGCATCTCGTAATTCGCAATTACTACTCATTCAGAATGTTCAATTTGCAATCCATCTGCAATTAACCATGTGCATTGAGAGGACCTAAACTGCTAGCATCCAAGATAAGTAGAATTCAGAAAGAGAAGGACCTAAAATTGAAGCTCGCTGCGTACCGGGGGGGAAATAGAGTACCTCATTGGCCAACTAGAACCGCTTTTCGAGCTCCCATCCCTACCACCGCTCACCTCATAATGCTTGAATGGATTCATCAACCTGAACTTCCTACTCCGTGTGTCCATACCCCTAACCCAGCTCGAAAGCTCTAACAAAAAAACAAACAAATATCTCTGACTCTGTCTCTCTCTGTCACACTCTCCCTCGCTCGCAGCTGCCCTCCTACAGAAGCCCCAAAATGCAACAAGCCAAACACAATAACCCGAAAATACCTCTCCCCCCACCCCCACACCCCACCCCCCGCGTTTCACAAGTCCCACGCCATTAATCAACAGCACCGTAGCCTTGGGATCCTACTATATACAGAGCACCATAACCGACGAGCCCAGGTTCAAAATGGGCCCCTAGGCGTGCATAGTAGACCTAAAGGTGGGATACGGAGGGAGCAGATCGGGGCCTAGACTATGAGAGTGCCGTGTGGAGATAGATGCACAATCGCAAGCACAGCAACACCATAGCCACCCAGCCAGCCAGCAATCAATCAGTGACAATCAGCAGAGGCAGAGGCATCATCGCCTGGAGCTGCAGAAGTAGTAGTAGTAAGTAGTGAGTAGTAGCAGTAGCAACAGAGGAGGGCCAGGGGCCAGTGGGCTCCAAGAAGCACCCAGCCTCCCCTTTCCCCTTGACCCCTTCCCCTTGGACCCGCCACCCGTCATTCCCTGCCACGTTGGATTCACCCCCATGCCGTGCTGGCATCCGGCCCTGCCACGAAAGCTCGCTGGTGCTCTCGTGTCTGCCCAGGACCCCCCCCCCCCTCTCCCCCCCATTGTGGAGTGTCTTGTTTGTTGTATGGGTTTGTTTGTGCCTTCTTGGCAATGGCTGCAAAGGATGCCTTTGCCTTTCTTTGCATTACCATTGCTTCTTTATACTCATTAACAAATTGCATGATCATAATAATAGTAATAATAATAAGAAGAATAGTAATAGTTTTTTTACATACCATCTATTATTCTCATTATTATTAATGTGCATAAACTATTATCTATCTTTGAGAATATACTGTTTGAGTTTTTTTGTTGTATTGAAGTAGCTCTAAAAAAAATAATTGAACGATTTGATGACTTGAGTGTGTTTTTCATTGAAACTATGATTATAAGCATTAACAACAACAATTGTACAAGAACTGAAAATAATAATAATAATAATAATAATAACCCACTTGATGTTTTTCATCCTCCATTTTTTTTTTTTTTTTTTTTTTTTTTAAATTTTTTTATCAGAATTTATATGAAGACTCGTTTCTATTTTGTTAAGAATGAAACTTTAAAAAATTTCAGAAAGTACTTTTGAAATTTTGAAATTTTGAAATACATAAATATGATATCAAAAATTAAAATTAAATGTCATGAAAATTGACATTTTTTGAACATAATATGCTAAAATAATTATGTTTAATAATTATTCATTTTTTTACTGTTTAATATGGTTACTCTCATGTCGAATGGATATCATTTGGTTATTCTTACAATATAAAATTGTAAGAATGCCATACATTTTTATTATTTTTATTATTTTATTATATAATATTATTAAAAAAATATTAATTGATTAATAAAATTAAAAATTTATTGTAAATAAAACTGGGAAATTTTGAATAATACGTCTATAGTGTTAAATTTATATTTATATTATTTATGAATGCAACATGATATACTAAAATCTTGTATAGTATTATCTTTTTTATTTAAAGTTTTTACATATAAAATAAAGGTATGTTGTCGGCTTGATCATGTGTTGGATGTTATCAAATAATTATATAATTTAATGATCGTTATATCACAAAGATTAAAACTAATTCATTTCTTTAAAATAATTTTAAGAACTAAAATTATCTCAAAATTAGTATTTGATAGGAAAAAAAAATGCATTTACATAAAAAGTTTAAAACAATTTTTTTCCAATAAAATTACAAAGTATTTTTTTAATTGAAATAATTAAAATATCCTATTATTTCAATAATTATATTATTAAAGACATATTCTAAATAAAATCGTAATATAGTTATAAAACATAATAATTTATTAATTATATAAATTTAGATATTTTATTATATATGATAATATACATATGTTTTATGTAAAATTTTGCAATCTTGTATATTTTAGATTAAGTTCCTCTTAGATCCAACATTTATATGTACAATCTAAGAGATGGGAGAATTGGATTTAAAAATCAAAGGACCACAAACCAAGAAATATATCTAGCTAAGTTTTTATCAATCAACAAAAGAAGTTGTGATGCCCTTGTGATGTAATATTCTTATCTTTGCAAGAGTGTACATCTCTTCTAAACTTTTTCAATAAAAAAATAATGCTCAAATGTAGCTATTCTAGTCCTAATAAAATTTAAGAGGTTCAAACAAGTATTTTAGATTTTGCATAAAGAATTTTCATGATACAAATTATATATAACAATTTATGTCATACAAATTTCACTTAAAAAACTTTAATTGTTAAGATTCTTATATTAGGTGCATCTTCAAAGATGTATTATTAAATAAAGGAGTATATTCTAACTTATATTTAATAATTTATTAAAACAATACTCAACTCTTCTTATTTTACATCAAATTGTCTCTGATTCTAGAACCACCTAAAGATCTAAAGCTATTTTATTTTATTTTATTTTATTTTTCATATTTCTACTATTTAAATAATATGAATCATGAACTTGACTAATATACTAATACAATAAAAATTAGCTAAGGCCACACTATATTAACTAGATATAAATATTTTCAAGTGTAATGTTTATAAGATAGATTTATGATAAGAACCAATATAATAGTATGCTATTACACTTTAATTCTATTATAATTTAAACAAGAAAAGTTAGATATCTTTAAGTTTGTTATATAATTATTATTCTTGTATTATGTGAAATATAGTTTTAAAATATAATAGGAATTTAATTATGGAAGTTTTTGCTTCTAATCTAAAATTATTTTGTAACAACTAAAGTACTTAAAAACATCCTTTTTAACAACTTAAATCCTTTTATAAATCCTAAAATCTTATTAAATATTAAATTCAAAAAATCCTAAGAAATTCTAATAAATCCAATAAAAATCCTAAGAAAATTGTGATTTTATTCAAAATTCCAATTGGCAAATTAGAATACACATCAATTTTCAATTAGACTACTAAATAAGTTTCAATTCTTGAAAAATTCTTTCTTCTTAAGTGATATATGCATTCATTAATTTTAAAAGATATCAAAATTATAATTGATAAATTTTGTAATAAAACTTTTATTAATAAATCTTAGCTTTTTATTTTGAATTTAATAAAGATCTTATAGGTAGTAGTATTGGTAGTGGTTGAAAAAGTTTACAAGGTCAATGACAAATAATTTTTAATCTTGAACATATATTATATGATTGTATAAATTCTTTAATTAACTTCCACATTTGAAGCTACTAAAAATCTCTGAAGAAACTCAAAGGTCTTGTTGTATCTAAAATGTTATGTAGTTACAAAATTGTGATTAGATTAAAAATCTCATAATTATGCTTCACTTTTTGGAACAAATAAACATCTCTTAAAATAAAATAGTTTATTTTTGAATTCAAACTTAGAAGTATCATAAGACTTAGAAGATTTATTCTTAATATCATAAACAAGAGGATTTGAAGACATACTTAATTATGTTTGATCAATTTTCAATGTTGATTTTATTGCTCAAAGATGAAATTGCTTTAGCTTCAAAAAAGTGGTTTATTATTGATCAAAATTTATATTTTTTTCTTTTTGAAATAAAATAAGAAATTCTAAATAAGTCATCTAAAAAATATTTTTATTTTTTTGGTTAATAAATAATATTAAATTCAAATTTTGTTAAAGATATATACTACTATACTTAGAAACAATTTAAAGCATAAGTTTTTATAAAATACTTGATATTTTTTTAATTTTTATAAATAATTACAAGACTAGAAGTGATTTCTATATAACTACATTATTCTTTAAATGAATCCACATTTGCAAGAAGCTCTTTATTATGAATCTTATTGTTGATTTTGATTGCTAAAATACTATTGGATATATTTTGTTATTAGCTCTTATTTATGACATTGCGACATTTAAGGCAAAATTCAATGCATTTTTTTTTATAATAAATATCTAAAGGAAGTCAACAAAATATAAGTTTACTACATCAGGAGAAGTTGTCTTCAAAACTTCAAATATTACTTCAATTTTTTTATTCTTCTCAATTTTTTCTTTACAACTTAAATGTGTAAGTGAAGCTACAACTTGAAAAGAATTATTAATAGAAATCTAATAGCAGTTCAAAAAACCAAAAATAATTGGATGTATTTATTTTTTTTTAGAATCTTTTAATCTATGATAGTTTGAATTTTTTGAGGATCTATCATAAGACCATCATTTGAAATATATATCATAAAAAGTCAATTTGAATTGTATAAAATATATTCATCTCCATCTTAATGTATAGTCTTGTATCTCTAAGTTTTTACACAATACAATGAATACAAAATTTGTATTATTTTATGTTCTTATAATAGATTAAAAAAAATTAAATAATGAATAATAAAATTAGATTGAAATTATTAAAAAATATCATTTTTAAGATGTTGAAAAATAACCAACATTTTTGTGAGTCCATACAAAGTGACATTTTATTCAATATGTCCATATCTAATTTAAAATATATAAAGATAGTATTTATTCTTCAACCTAAATTACAAAATGGCTTCAATTAGGAGTTTTTATTATTATTGATGGTATAAAATAAGAAAAGAAATAATAAAAAGTAAGTGAAATAAGTATAATCAAGTAAGTGCATAATACAAAATTAATGACAATTTGTTCATTGATTTTTTTTTTATTAAAAGATAAAAATAAAAAAAGATAAAACTTAAAATTTAAAATAATTTTATCTTTTTAATGACCTAAAAAATGTGAATTTAATTTAAATTCTAAATTTAATGTAATTAATAAAAAATAATATATAACTAATATATAATCAATATAAATAATATTAACATTTATTACATATTATTACATATTGGTTATAAAATTTTAATTTTAACATTAATTATTCACTTTTATATTAACATTGTTTACACATTCTATCACATAAATTTAGATAATTTAAAAATAAAATATAAATAATAATAAAAAAATAAATTATTTTACCTCAATGATAGCTTGTTTGATAGATTAAGAGTTTGAGCCTCATCAAGACTCACAAGTAGTTTATATAAGTATCTTAGAGAGACCACAAGGCCTTAGTCTTATCCTTATACCTACATTGAAGGTTCTATAATCCATATTGGATATACATAACTCGATTCCTAAAAGGATAACTCTAGGTGCTGATCTTCATATTTTCTATTAGCAAAACTAATATTTTTGTATTTTTAATTATACAATGGTATCTAAAAATTTTAATTAACCTATCAACCTTATATAGTCTTCAAATCTTATTCTATTTCTTCATAATGGTGGTATAACTCATTTTTACCAAATTCATAAAAATTACTCCAAAAAATTATAATTTTTTAAAAATAAATTCTAAATAAATTCTAAAAATTATTATATA